ACTGTCCTGAGAAAAAGACTGAGAACTTTTTGTATTCAAATCCAAGTTCTGCACTTCATTGTAACCATGTCCATATATTCTGGAGCATTTGGATTGGAACCTTACCATTTAGTTTATCTTGTTTCTGAAGTCCCAAACTCACAGCATTATTAATATATGGATAAGAAGCTGCCTTTCAAATTTACCATATTTTATTTTTTGTCACCCTTCTGTTTGCTTCATTTTACATACTCATCTGACTGGTCTTTATCACAACTTTGAAAATAAAACAGGGAAATATTATAAAATAGCAGCATCTTGTGATAAAAATTAAATCCAAAGGGTGCAAATAGTTACTGATCAGAACAAACATTTTCTTCTCTCAGTCTCATAATCAACCATTTATTATATCCATGACTTTCTTTTGCACCTTGAAGTCTGAAACTCTTATTTGTTGTTAAATCTAAAGCAATCTGAACTAAGAGCCTGGGGACTTTTTGGATTTACTTAATCTACAGTCTAGTACAACAGGCAAACTAGTTGTGTGTTGATATGTTATCTGGTCAGATTGCAGCACATTAGGTTTATCGAGAATGGAAATCCATTATTTATCTCAAAATAGTTTCATTTTATTTTGGCTAAGTTTTCCTTTCCCTTGACTTATTTAACACTAATCACTGTGGCACCAATGTGTTAAAACTAGGAAACTATATAATTCCACCAGCACAACTTTAGAAATGAAAGAGAAGGAGTATTAAATTTACTCAGGTGCCTTGACCAAGCAAGCACACTCAGCATTAGAATTCACACCTTTTAATTTCCAGTCTGCTTTAATTTGCTTTTCTAGATCAGACAATGAGTGAGGGAAAATGATTAACTATTGATAGGGGGCACATCCAGCTTTTCATCTTGATGAAGCTCAAGGAACGGCTTTGTCTGAAAGAAGAGCAACTAGCTCTGCAAATCCCTTCTCACAACCCCACTTGATGCCCTTCCACTGCTTTCTGCTTCTGAGAACATTCCTTCAGCATATGAGCAATTCCTCATATTGTT